CAAATATGAAGCATCGATGCAACCGAATAATTGCATAGCATATTCTAATCTTCTTCATCCCTATAAGATTAGAGAGAGTGTGTTGTTTCCTTAGCAAAATCTTAGTCTAAGAGAATTCTGTCCGAGTTTCATATTTTTTGGAGTGGGAATTATGTCTTGCACCTGAGAGGAGGAAAATAGTGAGCTTCTAGATGAGCTTAGGACTCAGTTTTTCAGAAGAACACTTAGCACTTAAAAGCTTGCAAAAAACTAACCTTGAGGAAGAGCTGATTTATTTTCACAATCTTCTGCATATTTTGATTAAATTTTACATTAGTCCAGAGTTGCCCAAGGATTGTGATGCTTTGGAAATGCTGCAGAGAAATATTTCGGCAATTTTTTGTTTGATATTGTTTTTATTGATGAGTATGGACTGAATGGAAAAGAAATTGCCTCCTAGATGTGTACCCATTAAAGTTGTTTAAAAAAAACCCAAAAAACCCCCGTAGTTGGACGTCTCTGATATTGCAGGAAGACAGGATGTGTATTGCTTGACAAAGTGAAGCTTAGCTGAAGAACAGAAGAAATGGCCCAGTGGGCAGTCCAGAGACTCCCAAGAGACCAGAGTTCAGTTTTTGTTTAACCATAGACTTCTTGTATGACTTTCTGGCAAGTCATTTAGTCTAGCTTGTGCCTTTGAGAGTATCTCATTTTACATATGGGGAACTGTCTCAGAAGGATGTTGAAAATAAAATCCATTAATGACTATGAAACTATATAAATGCCTTCAATATGCTGAAACTTGGCCATGGTTTCAACACAGGTTTTTTTCCTCTGAAAGTATGTCTGGTTTTATGGATGGTTGCCTTTTGTTCCCTGAAACAGGCTCCTAATATGCTTTATTAATGCCTGGAGTTTTTCAAGATCTGTGCTGCTTTTCAGCAATCATTGTATTCATCTCAATACATTGCCACGAAGGATTATTTTAGCAATATAGTAGTTGTTTAAAGTACCTTTACAATTAATCTTACTTGCACCTACTAAAACTCTGTATTTTAACAAAAGTCACAGCAATAGCATGGGCCAGTAACAGGATAAAATGCTTTGGTGATCAAACATTTTGCTCAATGATAGTTGTTACATCTTTTGTTGCACGTGGAGAATGTGGTGTGTATGTGCTAGGCATATATTTTGCAATGTGTCTTGCTTACAGCAAAGCTTCTCTTGTATCAACTCCTCTGTCCCATCCCTAGTTTGCATCTTGCCTTGTTCCCTGTTGTCCTTTTGAACAGTCGTGTGTTTTTAGATATCTTCTCATAGTGTCTCTCTGCTTGTATAAATGCTTGGCTGCATTTAGAGAGAAGTATTTTTAGTCAGAGAAGGGTCAGAATCAGAATTGCTGTGATCAGACTGTTTCCGTTGCATTCAAGGATGTCTGTTATATTTAGCTGAATTTGGCCAGTCATTCTGTTTCTGGTTACATATGACTAAGGGCATTTGGTGAAAAATTCTGGAAACTTTAGATTGTGCTGTGTGTATCTTTTGTTATTTATAAAATAACACTGCATAGTCCCCACCTTCTTCTAAGTGTAGTTTAATGTGCAGATTGAAAGAAAAGGCATGTAGTTTACATTCTAGTAATCTGACTGTTCTGGACGTATTTATACCACTGTGTTTCTAAGCATTGAATTAGAAACGTTTTATGCAAAATTAGAATTAAATCAGTCATTTTCTTTCCATACTTGCTTTGATACATGAACGATGAAAGACCTGAGAAGGATTCCCATCAGTTTAGGGGATTCTGCTATTTTGGGGGTGTTCTCTTTGTATGTAAGGTCAGCTGAGGCAGCTGAGCTGCCAGCTTCTGGCAAAAGTACTAATTCATGTGACTGATAAGACTGTCACCATAGGTACTCACTGAAATGAAATGTGAGTATTTTATAAATCTAAAAATAAGAATATGTCCATTTCATTCTCATTGGTATTAGAACATTTTAAGACTGAAACATACTTTCTTTGTAAAAGAGACTCCCTTTTATAAATAGTTCATTCTGTTTAGAGCATCATTCTGAATCAGTTCTGAATCAAAATAAGTAAGCAGCATTTCTAATAAATTTTATATGAAAACAGTCCACTTGATGTGTAATGGAAACTTGGGTTCAGTCCTCCAGCCTTTTTCCTAAGTTACTTCCAATGTTGTTTGTACTTAAATGGGCAGAACAGAGATTTTGTGATGATGGTCACCAACTCCTCCAGATGCCTGAGTCTTCTGCTGGAATGGTGTTGGGTTTTTTGTATGTGTGTGTGTACACTGGGTTTGAAACTGCATAAAGTATTTTACTGAAAGCTTAACCAAATGGTATATAGTACTGATACAAACAGAGCATTAGGTGTGCCTGTCTTTAATGCAGCCATCTGTTGAGTGCTATATCAGTTTTTCAAAAGCCTCCCTCAGCATAGACATCAAAGTGTATTCATGCACCTGTGCCTCTGATCTTCTAATATTTTTCTTATTTAAAAAACTGCAAAGGGAGAGGAGCAGTATTTCAAGATCAGTAGCTTTATTTAAAACCGAACACCCCCCCCCCCCAAAACTCCCCCCCAAAACTCATGTTGCCAGTTCAGAAATTGTTAAAAATGACTTTACTTAATATTCAACACTTTATTTATGGAAAAACCCTCAACCATGCTTCCATTTTCCTTTCCTCTGAGTAACCCCTGGCCTTGCTAGCACCTATTTCCTGCCTCATCTATTTACAGTACAGCTGCTGAGACAATTTTCTTGATCCGTTGGTCCGATGACATCAGCCGGACCTGTGAACTCCACTACCAGTTCACTCTTGAAAGGCACAGAAGTGTTTTTGTGAGAAGCTGGTTCATGGAGGGAGGAGCTTGTATCACCCTGATAGATTCAGCAGCTGTGGCCCAAAAGAGGGAAAGAGATGAGGTGCCCCTCTTTTAAAGGTCCTCTCAGGTGATGAGAGAAACCTGGAGACAAAAAAGGTGGCCCCATGAAGCTGCCTGCTGAATGTAGACAGGCGAAGCCTGGCATAGCCTGGATGTTTTGGTGTCTCCTTCCTTTCCTCATTTACTTGCTAATTGGCAAAGATAACAGATTGGTCTCCCAAGTTATTAGTGTGAATTGGTGATCTCCAGATTATCATCTCATGTTGGCCTAGTGCCACAGCCTGATGTCATTCACGACTTAGGAGGCAGCTCAGTGTTGTTTGCTGACAGGGGTGAAGCAAGGCCCACCTTCCCCTGTTGCGGCAGAGCAGCATGACGTGGGAGGAGGAGGGCTGTGGTGGGGTGGTAGAGGAGGTAGCCTGTTCCCAGCCACAAGCCCCATGTGCAGTTGCCTCAGTGTAGCAGAAATGTCAGGAAAGTTCTGGGGTTTCTGCCTGTGGAGAGCAGGGCTTGGCTGGACTCCGGTCATGAGGCATGCTCCCTTCTTTTTGCCCTGCATCCGTTTGGTCTGGCACCGACAAGGACCCATAGTCCTGCTGCTTTTTTCACTTGGGGGAAGAAGGAGCTTTTTGGGGCACATCTCCTTTTCCCGTTTTCTCACCTGCCCTGTGTAACCTGATTTGGTACACAGCAGGCCTGATCTCATCAAGTCCCGTGTAAGTGTCAGGGCCCAGGAGGCTGCAATGTCCCTGTCTGTGGCCCCTGGGGCTCCCCCCACGCTGCCCAGGGCCCAGGACCCCATGTCAGCCCCCAGGGGCTGTCAGCATCTGCCCCAGTGATGCTGCAGCACGGCTGGTCTCCAGCTCCCCACAGCCCTGCCTTGCCCAGCCCTGGGCTCTGCTGAGCTGGGCCTGCCTGCAGGCCCATATCCCAGCCTGGCCCTGGCCCTGGCCCTGGCCCCGCCCCCATCCCTAGGGAGGTGCCTTATGCCCAGGGCTGGAGCTGTCCTTGTGCCTCCCTGACTGCCCGCTCCTGGCTGGAGTGGTGGGACACAGGACAGGCCCTGGCAGACAAGGCCCCCTGAGGCACCCTGGCAGTGGGCATGAAACTTGATCTGTGTGCTTTACTTACTAAAATAGACTGAAAATATAGTATTAATGTACATCATGTCACTTCACTTGGTCTCTGAAATCATGTGACAACTGCTATGTGACAGTAAGAGCTATTGATTGCATAGTGGTTTAGTTACAGTTTAATTTTTGAGAGATGGGTGGCTGCAAAAACTGTCTGTAGTGTGTGGGTTACCATTAAGATACTCAAATCCAGCAGTATTTAGAGTTGCTGATGAAATGTTTGGTAAAATACAGGACGATTTCTAATGAGCTCTTCATTGCGGTGCCTAAATGTACAGGAGTTTATTCCCACAGCCCCTGAAATCTTCAAGTACAGCAGCTTGATACTGAGCACTTGTATTTCATGCTGAGTGAAGGTGATCTCCACAAGAGCAAAGACTCCTTAAAATCTATCGGAATGGTGCAGAAATAAACAGTTTTTGTATTTTAGAATAAGGGGATAAAGCATGTATGTCTTTCTCCCAATGGGGATACAAAGGGAGTATTATAAACACGTGTTAACCGGCTGTACGAACTGTGTGTGTTCATTTCCCCTGTTCTGTGACCAGAGCTGATCTGTCTCGCTGGAATCTGAATAGGTCACAGTGTTGTTTTTCACATTTGCATAGCTGGGGTCAGTATAAATTACAGTAAAAAAAGTTATTCGATACTACCACTTTTTAACTTTCTTCCTTGTCTCCTTGGAAATAGTGGTTCAAATGTATGGCAGAACTTTAACAGTGCTTTAAATATTTTGATTTGTAAAATTCACTGGGTTCAAGCTTTCCAAGCGCTAAGGGCACACACTTCTTTTTTACTTCAGTGGAGGTGCAGGGTCCTCAACACCTCTTTGCTCTGTTGGTAGTGAACTGTAGACCTGCCCATGTGTTCTGCCTACACCTTAGCTGTCACAAGTTCTGGAAAATTTTGTTTCCTGCACGTGCAGTCACTTGCTTTGGGAACCATTCTAAGTTTTTTTTCTAATTCTTTTCTTGATTGCAGATTGACTTGGAGCCAGAAGGGAGAGTGTATGTCATCATAGACCTTTCAGGATCGTCAGGTGAAGGTAGGGCCTTTCAATATTTTATCTTATTCTTTCATGAATGGAATCTTCCAAGGGCCTCTGCAATGGGAGTGTTAGAGGAGGTGCTGTGCCAATATCCTCTTAAATCTGTATGAACTCAAGTTAAAAAGAACACATTTTGATGTATCTGCCTGTGAGTCAATGAGCAGTTGCAGGTCATCTTACCCTGTTAATCACCGATGGTAACAATACCAGCTGAAAGGACAGTAATGACATGAGAATAGTTTAGTAGTATTAATGTCCAGAAGAAACTTCCACATTCTTATTTTTGGAAGAATACTAATCATTATGTAGGTAGAAATGATAAAATGTCAAAGTTGGGGAGAAGAGTTTATTTGCTTTTTAAATTATTCTCATATTTGGTATTTTTCCACTAAATGTTTTCTTTTTCAAGTAATGACCAAAACATTAGAATGATAAGAGGTGTTTTCATTTTTATGACACAACAGTTATATGTTGGAAGAAAACCAAAGAAAGATGGAAGAGAAATATCTATTAAATTCTTAAGATATTTTTGTGCTCTTAAGTGGGAAGAGAGTCAGGTGATATACGGTGGGAATAAGAGAATTTATGAAGAAGCAAGTCTGTGTATTTTAATCATGCTCCTGATGACAGCCTGACCTGCTGAAATGGTCTAGATGACTGGTTTGGGTTTGATTATTTTAAATTATGTCCACTGATCAGCTTTCCCCAGTAGCTCATAGAGTTCCACTAGAGGTTATTGTTGGTTCACAGTACATAAAGAAGATTCACATAAACCCTGACAGGAGCTGAATAGAAAATGCTATGAAATGAAATTATTTTGCCTGGTGCAGTTGAGAAACAGCAGAAGAACGTGTTTGTATTTCTGTTCTTTGTAATGAATTGTTGTGCTCTGACCAATTACTAACAGTAGCTTGCAAAACCACATATTGCTATAAATTCTGTATTTTAAAAACAAAGCAAACTATTATTTAAACTTCATCTTATAGCCACATTTCGCGCCCACATAAGATATGCTCTGCCTTTTTTTTTTTGTGCATATTGAAGAAAATATCAGATAAATAGTAGTTTCTACATATCTTGCTAATTGGCATGCCAGTGATGGAACTAAAATGCGGTTAAAGGCATTGGTGTGGTTCTGTCATAGGGCAGGTAGATGTTCTTCTACCATTCCATTGATAATTGATACCCAAATGAGCACAGTGTTACTATTCCATCACAAGATGCATTCAGGTGTGTCAGACTGTCAAAAGGCAGGAAGAATGGTGTTACGTTGTACTTCAAAAGTTCTTTAAAACTCTATAACCTTTTATACAGGAAAAGAAAATATGCCTATGGTAATGTCTCCTATATTATGTGGTGCATTACCCTCTGACACTTGAAAGGTGCTTGGAAAGAAATTCGCAGAACTAGAATTTGTGTCATTGCATTAGCGTTGAAGGGGAGCACTCAAATGGGAGCAAACCACTGAGGGGAAACAGCTTTTGAAATGCTGTCTTATGGGAAGCCCTTGGGAAGACAAAGAGGCTTTAGTTAGGGTGAATTTGGTGGAACCCTGGAGAAGTGGGTGTGCTTATAAAATGCAATAGAACTTGCATAGTTTTAGAGCTTTCCCATACAATTAAATAACTGTGGAAAAGTGTTGTGTAGAAGTATTGCAAAATTTTCTAGGGAAGTTAAGATTTTCCTCATGAGGAAAATTGGACCAGGTTTGTACAACAGGTCATAAACTGTTTTTATGGTGTTTTGTTAGCGATGTTATGAAATCCTATTTTTAGACTGCTTTATTAGGGCTGAGGCCTAGGTAATTTTGGATGAGTCTTTTCACACTTCACCTTAGTGGAGCACCTAGCTTAATATAATAACTGTATGCATCCTTCTGTGGTGATTTGAACACTTAACCCACACAGAAAGTAACTTATTCTATATGTTTCAAAAAAGCCTATTTCATTAGTTCTATGTGTATACACATATACAAGTATGTATGTAAATAGAATACATCTGCTATGTATTTCATGCATTTCAATGGGGCAGTTCACTGTAGTTGATCTGTATTTGTTGACTATAGAAGGAACATAAGATTAACGTTAGACTAAATGCATGACTTTTGAGTGGCTAGGGTTGGTTGAGGTGATTGCTACTCTTGACCTAATTTGTTAACCAGGATCTTGTTTTTGAGCTCTAGTCTTCATTGTGAATAGCAACAGACTACATAGCGTTGTATGTACACGCTGTGCAAATGGGTATCACTATTTCGTCTCAAATTCTGGAGGGGAAAAAATTGGCAATTTATGAAAATAAAAATACCTGTAGCAACAATTTTAATTGGAGGAAGCAATCATGTTGCATGTTTCTCAGTTAGCAGTATTTAAAAAAAAAAACAACCAGGCAATAAAAAAACCCCTCAGCCATTGAGGTATTGTCTTGTAATTACGTGTACTGAAAATTGGACTTGTTTCTTCTATGTGATATATGCAGGTTTCTAATTATCAGCAATCAATAATGTAACTTCAGTTATTTGGCACTTCTAAAAGATTTTTAAGATAGATATCCAAATTCTGTTTTAGTATAATTTGACTTTAAGATTAGTTGAATCCATTAATATGCAGAGAGCTTTGTCCTCTATTAAATTGCCTCTAAGAGGCAAAAGTTCTAATTTTCCAAGTGAGCCCTTATGTGAATAAATTGATATATAGATTGGAAGTTTACATATAAAATCCTAAATGGTGGATAAAGAAGAATCATTCTCATTAGTAGTATATTCTCAATAGCTTTAGTAAGCTTTTACGTAATATTGACATAAGATGTTGTTACCATATACCTCTTAAAATTCAATTGTCCATTAGTTCCAGCTGCCAGATTGCTTATCCCTCTGCACTGTCTGCACTTATGTGGCAAAACAATGAAAACAGTTCATTGTTATAAGCTGACTTCCTCAACAAAAGTACACAATTTCTCTTCCTCCTTCCCCCTCCTCTAAACTAAATCAGTCATGGACTTTTCATCACTTGTGTGACTTAGGTGTACAGAAAAGATGGAAGTATGGCAGATTACAGGGGGAGGTCAAGAGTACTCCTGCCTCTCCCTGTCACATTGAGACAGACTTGAGAGCCGCCCTTAGATATCAATACTGGCATCTAGCAGTATTTTTATGTGGAACTGTAGGAAGGAGGATTGAGCTGTTGGCTTTGCAACTGACAATTTTTTTCCCATTCTAAAGACAAGCTACAAATCCATGGGAGGTTATAGAGCTGTGCCAGCTTCTCTGCCACTTCCTATATTGTGAAATTTCTTTCAGAAGCCGCCTGAAGGAGAAGCTCTGCTTCTCCAGCAGTAACAGTGCACTTGTTAGGGGGCAGCCTGGAAACCTAAGGCTTTAGACTGCTCTCCAGTGGGTATCTTGTGGCACTGCCAGCTCTCCCAGTGGACCTCAGGAAATTTGGATTTGTTCTGAAAACATCATTTCCTAGAACTTGCTCCAATTCAATTCTAGTCTTTGAAGCAGAAAAAGGTTGGAAAACACAAATGCTAAAGTCTGAGAAGTGGAAAGCAAACTACGTAAAAAGCGCTTACAAGAACAACAACAAACCCAACAGGAACATTTTTATCATCTTTACACTAATCCTGTTTTGGAGCCTGCTTATAGCTTCTGAATGTTCGTTCTGCACTGAGAGGGAGGGTGTGTAACTACTTATTTTAGCAATCTTTTGTAAATTCTGTAGTAGGAACTGTCTGGCCCACATACTGAAAAGAAAATGGTAAATGAACTGTTTATTGTGTGGAAGGTGATGTTCTCAAAATTTAGGAGTTAAATTTTTCTGCTAAAATATGGACATTCCCTTATTATGCTTTCAAAACCAATTCTGCAAAATACTTTAGCATGCTTTGCTGATGTGGACATAGAAAGAAGGAGAGAAAACAACTTTTAAAATAGATTTTTTTAAAAGTCTCCATTTTAAACTATGTAACCAGTATTTCCCTAACACCTGTGATTCAGGTTTTTACACTTGCTATGCCAAAATTGATCTGCAGGGTTTTTTACCTTCTGTAGATTTATTTTATTTAAAATGGCTCTGTGCATTCAGAGTAAATATGTATTTGTGTTTCCCATTAATGGAAATAGCTGTGTCAGTGGAAACTTCCCAAATGTAGATAAGCACTAAGGTATCTATTCCCAGGCTAAAATAACTGCAACAGTTAATCAGTAAAGTTCTATTTATAAAAATATTTGTTTATAATTTTAATACTTTTATTGGATTTTTTTAAAGTGTTGACAAATAGTACCTGTCCACTCAGAACTTTAAGGGATATTTTAAAAAACAAATCCCTGTGGTCAAACAAACAAATGGAGCTTCTGTGGACCTGACACGGCATCCAGTAGTATTAGTTGGAAATTTTTGCTTAATTTCATTGAGCCACATACTGTATCATAGGCGAGCACACAGGATCTTTAAGAATAAGTGTTTCTGATAACTTGCTTTTGGGAGACCAGATCAAAATATGGGGGGTGGTGGTGGTTGTTACTCTGCCAAAATATTTTCAGACTTGCAAAGCATATAATCAGTCAATTCTGCTATTAACCAAACATCTGGTGACTCCACTTTATATATGCAGTTATAAGAAAACCAAAGTTTATAATAGACTGGTGTTTGTAAGAAGTAATTAGCTTGGGAAAGATCTATCATATTAATTTTCTGTTACTTCGCAAAATGGATCTAATGATTGCATGGGTTTTTAGTCTTTTATCTTCAAGTTCTGCCAGGGCTATGGAGAAGGGTGTATCTGTTTATCAGTCTTTCAATGAACTGGAGACTATAAGACATGCTGTCATTTATTTCTTCAGTGCTGCTTATTGTCCAAGGTCATATTGATTTTCTGTATTAATTCAGTGTTGCTGTAGCATCTGCATTATTTCTAGGCTGAAGTGCACTCTGACTGTTTTATTGACATGCTTTGGCAGTGTTTTTTTGTCTGTTTTGGTGCTTATAGAGTTTCGTGAG